AAATAAACACGTTCAGACCAAGCTGTCGGACGAAATGAAAAAATTGTACCTATGTGCTTGAGGTGAAATAACAATATATCGCCTAGAGTGCTGTTGTTGGACGAATATTCATTGCCAAAAAAAAAACATTGACAAATTTTAATGATGAAAGCTTTTATGTCAGTGGCTTTAGTCGAGTTTTTGAATATTGGATGTATAAAGTGTTAAAGCAATTAATTTGCAATAAATTTAGAAGACATAGAAATTCTGATTGTTATTTGGATATGCAATTCAATTTAAAAATTTTTTTTGGTTTTGTTATTTTTTAATAGAGAAGTTTTAAACAGCACTGAATTGCAATAGCAAAAATTTTTATTTAAGTTTTATTAATTTTTCATTTTTTTTAAATTATTTTTTTTTATTATATTTAGGTATTTAGTTTATTGATTTATAAATTTTTTAAAAAAGAGGTTTTTTCAAACAGTAGTGAACTACAACAACAAAAATTTTTATTTTTTATATTATTTTAATTAATTGAATTTTTGGCTGACCATACAGCTGTGTTTAAATTTTTTAATAGAATTTTAAAGGCACTACAAAAATATTTTGCTAATGAAATATATGGTAGTAATAGTTCATATTAACAGTTCGTATAAAACAATGAAGTTTATGAAACGTAAATCACTCTGCCAATGAGGGTATTTAAAAAAAAATTAAGCTCATCAATCGACAACAATTATGATTTGAAAATAAAATAAACGATATATCAATTTAAACAAAACTAATTGCGTATATAATACTTTTTTTGTTATTCCTGATAATCTGATATAAAAAGATACTTTCTGTTTGCCACAAGTGTCAAAAGTATAAACGAAAATTTTATTTTTCAGTTACGATAAGTGCACTTATTATACTGACTATCGTACACATAAAGATGCAAGAGGTGCAATACTATTGTTTAAAGACTTTTCTGTGACGAGTAAATATAACTCTATGGCTTGCTTTTACGGTATTTTGAGACTAAATTTTATCAACAAGCAACTAAAAACAAACTTAAAAATTCATAAAAGATTGATATTAATATTATTTTTTTTTGCTGAAATAAAATACGTGCTGAAATACTGACTAGAAATGAAAACTGGAACTATTGATGTAAGCAATAATAATGTCAAGATAATAATGTACATATAAAAAAGTAAACAAAAACATTTTAGAGAAGTGATCCTTTGTAAGCTTAAACTAAATGATTTTATTGAAGAAAAAATGTAACATCTATTTAATGATTTATGTTTGTATTACAATTTTAAGCTTTATTTAAAAACTCTTATGATGATTTAACAGTTTCGCATGTCATACTAGAAACAATTCTACTTCTGTCGTAATACGTAGGCAGCCAGCAGTGTTGTCTATGTGGAAAACCTTTTTATGGAGGCGGGATTAACAAATATGAGTTGCCATTTACACTCACCAGTATTTTCTTAATTGTTAGATATTTGCATTTAGAAGTATTTTACATTATACTTCATCCACAAATTTTATACTCATCTGCTTTTGCATATTGTGTTACTTATGTTAATATTATGCTAACGAGCATAATAAATGCAATACTTACACATATAACAACAATAATAATGATATGAATATTGTAATCATAAAAATTTTAAATTACACCTACGAAAAACCTTTTGGTATACTCGTATGTATTTAATTCATGTATTTAAGACCAAAATGAATGTTTTTGTATATTAAGTTAATATTTTTTTAAACACCAACGCCCAATCTTCACTTTCAATAGAATAAGTAAAGAAAAGACGGTATGACTTCACTGGCTTCCATTAAGAAAGGGAGAAATTACATAGAAATCCATTAAACAGAAGCTGTGAGCATTTTTTGCCGCTAATGCAACATATAAAAATATATATATATAAACATCTGAATATATCTACATTTTTATATGTACTCACATATATTGCGTAGTATTCCATACAATACTTACATGTTGTATTGTCTGCTTCAATATCCGCTAAAATCTTGCTTAGCGGAAAAATCTGGCTTTAATTTTATCAGCTCTATAATGTCACATACGTAATTTCTTCTAGAATTGTTCTACTTAACTATTTTTAGCAGCATTGCAATTGTTTAGTAAGTAGTGGCAGCGGTATTTAAATATGGAAGGCATATTAGTTTCAATTCAAGTATTGTTTAGTGATGAACTTTTAAAATTTACATTGAAGTATCAAAGCTTTAAATTAATGTATCGTATTAGATCATTATACTTTCATTATATATATTTTTTCCTTTATTTGCTATTCCTTTTGTTTTCCTTTAAAATAATTGATACGGCGTATAAGAGAAAACTGAAAAAAATGGTAAAAGCTTGAAAAAACAAATAGAGAATTCACATAATCAAAAATGAAATATTTGAATTTAAAAACTTGGTTTTTTAAAAAGATTGGTTTTTTGTCATAAGATACATTGTTTTTTGAAACTGTTTTTTGAAAAATATTACCAAAAAAACGGTGGATAAGTAGAAAATGTTTTTAATTTCTCTTTTGATATTAGACTTTTATACAACGTAATCACTGATAAACAAACTAGTGTCTTCATTTTTATTTGAAATTGGTTTTTAGACGAAATAAAAGTTATTGTCACCAAAGCGACATAAGTATGGCCTTAACATAATACATTTTAAGTCATATAAAGGTAGTGATATTTATTACATTTTTGTTTTTAATTTATAGACGGGTTTCATGACTTATGAGTGTTGAATTCCTTTAGCTATAATGGAATATACAGTAAATGACAAATTCACACATCAAGTACACATTTTGTGTTGAGAAGTGGAATGAAAATATATTAAATCTCCTCTAAAAGAGATTCCTCTACCTAGAAAGACTTTTTGGGGTCACATCCCTCACAATTTTATGGAATGAATCAATTATTTTATAACCGGAAGAATTTATTAATGAACGCAAATAGTTTCCTCATCGCTGAGTTTGAAACGTTATAGAGTGAAATAAAGAATAGCGCTTTAATATATATAATGATACAACATGTATTTCAGTGTCTTCTAACAACTTAAGTATTTTAAAGATCTTCATGCTTTAGTAGTTCTTTAAGTATTTCAATAATCAGCAAATCTGCAGCAGAATAATTGGTTAACAGTTTATTAACTGTACAGACTTATCAGTTTCTCCTCTTGATGAATCTGAATTAAGATCAACAAACGAAATTTTAACTAGATTTATTATTATTTACTATTGTAACTTCAAGCCAATGTCAAAAATTTGTTAGACTCTTACGGCCTTATTCATAAAAATTTCTTAAAATGCTTTTTAAATACATTTTAGTTAAAATGTATTTTAACTTTATAATGGCCTTATAATGCACATTATTCATAAACGTATTATAAACCTTTGATAACTATAATACAAATGTTAATAACATTACTGTTAAACACAAAACATTTTACAACACTGTGAGAAATATGAATTAATGCAGCACAAAAATAAAAATTTAAAAAATTTTTTAAGATTAATAAATCGTTATTTAATTTGCAATTTAATTAAAAGTTTTTTTCAATAAATGTTTTTAATATAACATTAGGTTTCTTTCGATTTGTTGAATTATCATCACATATTTCTTCACAGTCAGATAAGGAAATAAAGTTGATAGCCGCAGAAAAATTGTCATTATAAGGTATTTTGGAGTCATTTTCATTGTAAGTAACTGCAAGATTGTGCAATACTGCAAGTGCGACTATAACTGTTTTCGCATTCTCCAATGATATATTCAACTCATCTAGAAGACAACGAAATCTTTGCTTCCACACACCAAAGCATCTTTCAATTGTATTTCTGGTGGCAATGTGTGCAGCATTGTATCGTTCTTCTTTTGCGTTTTGTGGTTTCAGTATTGGAGTGAATAGTTATGGTTGAAGTTTGTATCCTGAATCGCCAACCAAGCGCCCTTTGAATTTTCCTGCCTCTAATTGTTCTTTAAGAATTGATTCATCGAAAATCCGGCAGTCGTGCGTACTACCTCTCCATCTTGCGACTATATTGCAAATTTTTAAATTTGCATCACATATCACCTTCAAAATATAATTTGTTTTTTAATGTAAGTAAATATTTTAAAGGTACTTAAAATACGCACTTGTTCGTTTAATGAATAAAACCCTTTCCGATTTATATAACTTGTAATCTTGCGGAAGTTCCAGCGCCTCTACTATCAAACGTTAAGTCCTGTTTCACCAAGTCAGTTATTTTTTCTACGCCCTTTTTTGAAAATCGGTACCTCAGTTGAAATTCATCATCACGCAGCATAAACGGATCTCCACGTTGTTTATATATTTTTAAATTAAATTAAATATTCGCCAATTTCTTTAATTATGCTTATGGCATCCATATTTAATTGTAATTCACCCAATAAAAATTACTACACAATCAAAAATTTTGCTTAAAATGCTGTTATAGAAGGTATAAACCTATTATAAATTTTGACATATTTTAACAGCATTTTAACAGCATTTTAACT